GATCTGTGTTTCTTGGCAAGGTATAGAAAGGAATACTGGAGTAGAAAACAATGTTTTTAATTTTGGGACATTGTGAGAATTTTTTCTTTCCATGACAAAATTCACTTTTTTTGTAAGGCGAAATGAAACCATGACAACTGTAAAAGGAGAATTTCTTTATTCAAACAGATGATCAACTTATAACAACAACAAAAACAAGAACAACAGTGACTCTCTCCTTTGAGACAATGAGCCATGATCTGGTATGTGTACCTCACATTCAGGTTCACTCTTTGGCTTCAGTCATGTCATGAACTCTGAGGTCGTCGCCACACTTTCTGTAAAACATACCAAGGTTCTCTGCTTCTACTGTATAAATGTGAACAGGAAGGACTCCGCAGCTTCCAGGTCATTTCCGCTTCTAAGTTTGTCCACTGCATCCTTTTTTCAGTTTCTGTAATGTCTCAAAATACAGGCAGGGTGATGTTCCCATGGAAACATGATTTATTGTGTCTTATCCTCTCCACAGCCGTTTCCATGTCTCTAGTTATTGGGCTCTGGTTTAGGAGGGAAGATATAAAATCAGGACCTCAGATGCTGTTTAAAACTCCAGGTAGAAACAATGTAATGGGTACATGATACTTCACAGATGTATGAAACAAACAAACAAACAAGCACTAAATAAGGTGTCCTAGGTTTAGATTTGACATCTGACATTGGACATTTAAACCACATTCAGTATGTAAACCCACTGAGTTAAAAATAATTCTACTTTTCTTTGTTATAAAGATCACTTGGATATGTGTGTTTAGAGTGTAAACTGCCTGCATAAACCTACTTTAGCCAAACACTATTGCGAGCCAATTTGAATGAAAAAGTACCTGTTATATATCTTACTGATGCTGTGTGGGTTGCTTTCATCTTTAATCAATAACGCCGTGTGAAACGTTCACTACGATGAGCCTACCCTGCATCATGACCACCATTCGCATAATTAGTCTGTACCAAGTACAAAAATGAAAATCAAATAAGCATGTCTTCGCAAATGCAGTTTAAAATGAGTCCCAGTACGTGTGAACTGTGTATAATCCTTATGAAGAGAGGCAGCGATAGAAGCAGAAAGCGAGGATATCACCGATCAGGAGCAGGCCCAGCAGCAGGAGGAAATGACTGTGGGGCAGTTAAATTCCCCCCTTTAACTTCCTGGGGTAATATCCTCTGTGGCCGGGGGGGTTTGGGAGCTTCGGCAATGTCACAGCTGCTTGGTCTACAGGCCTCAGGGTCTCTTTGGAGTTTTGTTATTTTTCAGATACGTTATTTTGAACCTTATTCCTGAACTTATTTTGACCAAGAACACAAGCAATGAATCACAGTGGAAAACTAGGCCAAGTGTTAATGGTTTTACCTATTTTGAATCACACTCCATAGGTCTATAGCTTACATCCTGAGCAAAGTAACACAGCGGGTTCAGTATATATACGGTTAATAATTTTTGGTTACCATCTTGCCTCTAATATATTCCCCCACACATCAGTCACACAAAACTGGAGACTGACAATCACTTTGGCAAATTTTAAAACATTTTATGTTGCAGGTCTAGGGGCTGCCATAGATTCTGACAGCATAAGAGAGAAGATTACAAGAAACCAAGACAGAAACACAGTTTCTGGGCAGGACACTCATTTGACCCCCAATAACATGAAAGGAAAACACAATGAGTGCCTCCATAGCTTTGAGGCTTGGCCTGTGTCACCGTGGCCAGCGAGTTGCGCTGTGCAGTGAGTAAACCTCACTCCCCAACTCCTCAGGAGGCGCTCTCCTCGCATAGGCCTTTGAAACCAAATAAACGTACCTCCTGAGTGATCTCACCATCTATCCCTTCTATACGGAACTATTTACGGTCATCACTCTGCATGTCACACAAGACAATTATTACACTATCTGCTGAAACCACACAAAAAGCAATTAATTCAAGACCACCCACTTGAGCAACACTTCTGCGTTCGACTTCTACTTGAAATATTTTTTGCTATTAAATATAGCAGAGTTCCATACTCTTACTGGATTTCCCTCACACCATGTTATGCTTGATAAGGGGGTGTTACTGAGGAAGTAAACTTTCATGTAGTTAAATGTGTCATTGGACACTGTTCCACCAGCCCATATAAACATTTTGCCACAGGTGATAGGAAATAGCCAATGAAATAAGGAATAATGATCTTTCCTGGTTAATAAGAGGCATCCCAAAGAGCAAACGGACCCAAAAAACCTTTGAAAATGGGGGGGGTGTGACCTTCACATCACCACAGCCCCTCTCATGTAGCTCCTCTACGCACCTCCAGGTTTAGGAACAGTTTCTACCCAACTGCAATCAGACTCATGAACAATCAGTAACCTTGTGTCACCTCCACTGCTATCCATACATATATTTCTGTATCTCTGTCTCTATTTATTCCTGGGATTCTGGTCTTATTTATTTACTTATTTATAATTCACTTTATCTTTACATTCACTTGTCGTCCTGTTGTCTATCCATCTTATTGTCTATGTTCACTGTCTGCAGGAACACATGCAAGCAAGCATTTCATTGTACACGGTACTCATACTTGCACACATGACAATAAAAAATTTTAATTGAATTGTTTTACGAATGCGGCGAATTCCACAGACAAAAATTGAGGCCATTATCAGGCAGTATTGTATGTGGGTAAGACTGATGTCAAGAACCTAATTACTGTATGTTCCCAGCGGTAGGGGAGGCCGTGAAGGCTTCCTCAGGCCACTTGCTGTGGTAGTCTGTTAGTGTCAGGACACACCGGCAATCCCAAGCAGCCGTCTCAAAGGGGCCGAGCACATCGATACCTCTCTGCTCCCATGGCTCTGGAGTGGAGCAGCAGAGGGCGCAGCAGTTTTATCTGAAGACTGGCACAATCAGCAGCTTTTCACCAGAGCTTTCCAGAGATGTTCACAAGATTAGAATCACAGTTAAGTCTCAAGTCTCTGCCATAGAGTCCAACTGATGTCTCAATCATCATTCCAATTTGACATTACTGTTTACCAAATATTTAACTGCCTATTTGTTTATTTTGTTTTGTTTGTTTTAGTAACTGATGCGACTAAATGGGAAGGTTCAGTTCAAAAACTGCATGTCTCATAGTTCCTTAGACTTATATACATTTTCAAAGTAATTGCTATTTCAAATGCCTTTGAAGCAATGCTATTTGTGTAAGCACTTTTCTATTGTAGATGTTAAAACTAATACTTTCTCAAAAAATAACATTATGATGAAGACGTCCCTTGCAGGAAAGTTTGGCATAGATCCCCGAGTCGGACCGTATGTGTGCACATACTGCTGTGCTGAAAGCATGTCAGACTGGCCCTGCGCTGGAACCAGACCAAATAATGCCAGACTCCACCCTCAAATAGGTTAAAGTGATGTAATATATTTCACAGAGACGTTGCTTTGTTCTCACTATAGCTTGGTGGCCTTCATGAACCAGCCCCACCAAGGTGTAGTGCAGTGAGACGGGAGCCTCTGAACATATATGCGCTTTGAAGGGGGCCGACCCTCTGATATCTGTGTGAAACGCTGACTGCTCAGGGCAGGAAGCAGAGGCAGAAGTGAACTTATCTGGGGAGAGAGCAGACAAAGCAGATGACAACATAGCGACAAACTCCAATTCAGTCTCCACCTTCTCATCGCCGGCAGGCGGCAAAGTCAGGCAGGAAAGGCATTCCGCAGTCTTAGGGTGCTTTGCCACTGCACCAGGTACTGTAACTTTGGTACTGTACTTGAAGATGCTGCTTTTCCACTGGCGTAAAAACTGGTACTGGTGCCAAATGACATCACAGCGCAAAGTGGGGTATTTTGTACCAAATTAGAAAAAAGGCTGTAGTATACTATAGGGCTGGACAATTTGCAATATTAATACCAACATACCTTGGCATGCACATGCATTTCTTACATCGATAGTAAGCAAGATTAAGATCAGGTATTTTCTTACCATCAGTTCTTAATGAACATTACAGTTCAGGGAGTTTAAGTTTCGCTAAAACATTTTCACTATGTCATAGAAAAAAAAACATAGCTACAGTAGCTTTGCAATTTTAACTATTATTCCTTTTATAGATTGTCTAATATATGTTTAAAAATCAGTTTAAAGTTTACCTCCACTGCTTTTGAATGAGTGCTGCACGCATTTTCTGAGAAAATCATAATCATTATCATCCTTGCTGTTTAAATCACTATTAGATGGGTTTGTGAGAAATTTATGAACTCCTTTTTGCTTTATAAATACTCCAATATTTTTTTACAACAAAATCACATTGCTAGGACAGCATGCTGTATACGTGTTGTCCTGGTGGATTAAACAAAATACTTTTTAACTTTCTTGTCATTTCTTGGCTTTGTCACAGAGTCATCAAACGCTCCACCTTCTAGTTTTACAAACAAGTGCAATATAACCACTTATGATGTTGGTGCAATATACTTTTACTTTACTGTGCAATATGCACTATATACTTTTGGCACAAAATTAACTCCATACCAATTTAATCAGAGAAAAAAACTTATTTTTCATGTTTATTCAACTCACTGAACACAGGCATTTATTTTTGTCAATCATACATTTCAGAGTAAAAAGGATTATAAAGATTAAAAAGCAGAGATTTTACATTTTTGCTAGGAGAATCAGAAACATGTCACAGCGACACTGAGGAGTTTTTGTAAACAAAAAACCCTGCATAAAGGGGCTCAGTGAATGAGGAGGTGAATCTGTGCAGGAGGGTCAGTCCATCATAGGAGATGCTGAAGAAGGACAGAGCACCAGCCCCCCAGTCCAGATACACTCCTACTCTGTAGGGGCCTGAGGGCCATATGGGTATGATAGTCTGTTTATTATTGTGCCAGACAGAGTAGCTGTCAGGATAACAGCACAAAATCCATGACTTGTCATTGGCTCCAAGCACACAGTCATCACCATCTCCTTTCCTCCTGATTCCTTTATAAGTCACTCCTATCCGGGCTTCATCTCCATCCCACTCAGCCTCCCAGTAACAGCGGCCAGTCAGACTCTCTCTGCACAGAACTTGGGGGCTGCGGTCAAATCTCTTTGGATGATCAGGATATGGCTGCTCTGCCCCCCGTGTCACCTTCCTGTTCCCCTCTGACAGAGACAGGAATCTGTTTGCTGCGTTGGGGTCCAGTGTCAGCTGGCAGGAGTCTGTAGGCAGGAGGAAGAGCCGCTAATCAGGAAGACCGGAATCTCCGCCATTTTATCACTTACATTTAGCCTGTACTGTATTTATCTGTGCAATATAAAAACAGCACAGCTTCCCCTAACGAAACGGGAACTGAAGTTTATGAAATAGCTCAGGAAATGTCGGACGGAGCGTGACACCGGCGGGAAGAGCCGCCAAAATGCTGCACAAGATAAACTAACAGCTTAATTACGGGTAAATAAAATTACAAAGCAGCGACATTCATCAGACACATTCACCACAAGCATATTTACCACAAAACGGCACCAGAGATTAATACTAAAAGTGTCTTTACTTTAAAATATAACCTTCCTTCGAACCGCACGCCTCTTCACAGCAGTGTTACACGCAGACTAAGGAGAGAGTCCAGCATCAGTGCCAGATTAGAAGAGAGAGAATTATGGAGCATGAACTGATTCCATCTGGCTGCAGACTCCGCCAGATGTTTGTTTACATGGAAACTCCAGGAAACTCCGCTCCTGGCCCGGACACGACGCTCCTAAAGAGAACTTGGTATTACTGGATTATTAAAGCTACTTCCTGATGTTGCGCCGACGTCATCTCCACGCTATTGTGGAAGTCATGTGATTCCGCGTTAAGTGATGCGATATAATCCTAGTGGAGATGACAATATAATAATAATAATAATAATAATATCCTATTCTATCTTATTATAATACATTATTATGATTTATTATCTGTAATACTAATACTTATATAATGCTATAATTATATATAAAATGCTGTAATAATGTTTAATATTATACAGACACATATATATGTACATATATAATTATATGGATGATTATAATAATACTATAATAATTATTATCAATAATAATAGTATCTCTATCCTATACTTCAGCTCTGTTTCTGAAGTCTGCATAACGTCATGTCTGACCCAGGAGTGGAAGTCATGTGATTTCTGGTCCCAAAATGGAGATCCTCCTCAAAGGTCCTGGGTTTGGTCCCGGGTCAGGCTGATTTGCAAGGCTAAATTGGCTGTGTGTGTGTGTGTGTGCATTGTGGTGTGCTGGCACCTGCCCAGGGTTGGTTCCCGCCTGTGCCCCTTGTTCCCAGGATAGGCTCCGGTCCCCCCTCTGACCCCAGTTGGGATTAAGCGGTTATGGTCCTGGATGTTTTGTCTGTTTTGTTTTCTCCCTTTGGATTCTGTCTAAACTGTCACACACACAGAAACTCACCTAAATACAAACATGGAAATCCATCTACACACAGTACAAAAAGTCACACTCATCACAACAATTGTGTGAATACAACCATAACATAGTATTAATGGTATTATTAATAAAAACATGCAAAAACACTTACATTTCTGTAAGCCTGGTCTGGTCCTGCACTCTCCACTGTGGTCCACACTATAGGAAAAGAATTTAGAATTAACTTAATGATCAGTGGTTATTGTTGACACACCACAACACAACAACAAAATGTGTCCTCTGCATTTAACCCATATGTGACATCATGACATAGCAGGGGGCAGTTAACTCAGCACCCAGGGAGCAGTGCTTGGGGGCGCTACCTTGCTCAGAGTACCTCAGAAGTGCCTTGCTGGTCGGGCATTCCATCCAGCAATCTTTCAATTACAAGTGCGCTTCCCTAACAATTAAGCCATAACATAGTACAGCTGTATGCATTTATTTACTAGTGCCTCTTCTTCACATACATGCATAAGTATTTGTAGCAGTCAGGCATACACTCTGTACTCACTTCAGCTTCTCCAGTTTACAGCTGGGATCCTCCAGTACAGCAGAGAGCAGCTTCACTCCTGAGTCTCCTGGGTGATTGTAGCTCAGATCCAGCTCTCCCAGGTGTGAGGGGTTTGACCTCAGAGCTGAAGCCAGGGAAGAAGAACCTTCTTCTGTGACTCTACAGCCTGAGAGCCTGCAGAGAGACAGACAAATACTCTCTAATAAATAATATAATCTCATACTATCTCAGTTGTACTGTCAAGTACCTGTGATTTTGAAAGACCAATTTACTATTTGACCTGATAAAAATGACTAACCTCAGTTTCTCCAGTTTACAGTGTGGAATACCCAGTAATACTCACTCAGAATCCCCAGTTTACAGCGTGGAATACCCAGTAATACTGACCTCAGTATTTCCAGTTTACACTGTGGGATACCCAGTAATACTGACCTCAGTATCTCCACTTTACTGTGTGAATCTCCCAGCCCAGCAGAGAGCAGCTTCACTCCTGAATCCTGCAAATCATTGTCACTCAGGTCCAGCTCTCTCAGGGGTGAGGAGTTTGATCTGAGAGCTGAAGCCAGCGCCTCACAGCATTTCTCTGTGAGTTCACAACGGTCCACCCTTAGGAAAATAAAATACTTATAAAACCACTTTTTGCATAGATGTACTGTATATTACAGTAATGTGAGCCATCACAGCTATCACAGAAAAGATTTTTTTAAAAACAATGACTTATTTGTACAGTATATAAAAAGCATATGAACAATCACCCCAGTGTTGATTGGTGTCCACTGTATTTACTTTTGTTAAACCAAACACAGTTAAGTCCTGTGTGTTTAGCTTTTCTTCATCTATTAGCTCTGCTAACCAACACAAATTGTGTGCTAAGAATTATTGGTTTCCAGCTTTACTCCTTAATTATTTCTAACATGGTTTGACTGCTGACACACGACTCGGGGTCTGGAACCAAACTCCTGGGGAGGGACTGGGCTCTATTCGTTTTTATTCCTACACTTTTACTTTGTCTGCTTTTACTTTATGCATTTTATTTCTTATATTTTCTGTAAAGCACTTTGAATGACCTTGGTGTATGAACATGTGCTACATA